CCCCAACTCTTAAGCATTTTGCCATCTCATCTCCTTCAATGGCTCTCTCCCTTTCCAGTAAGACCTATGCTCTGAGCTGTTTCTGTGCTAGCCATGTGAAGGTAGGTTTGCACAGATCCAGCCTGGGGCTGCTGGAGACGGGGACTATTCATTACCATCTCAGAGCAAAGTAAATAAGCATACGACCTTGGCCTTATTAGCATGAGGTTCAATCTCCTCAGGTTGCCTGTCTTGGCCAATTATACTTTTATTATAAGCAGCTGTTATGTTTAGTGCTTCCCAGGTTACTCATAGCTAAACACAAGTAATAAATGGATAACAACTATTGGAGCAATGCCGACAATTAGCTTGCCTCAGGTCCAAGGGCAAAACAGTCTTAAGTGTCCTACTGACTCTTTAGCTCCAGGACAAACAAGTCTTTCTGCCATTAGAACTGCCTTAAGCTTCATAATATTTTCCAGGTGAAAACACTTAGGGTGATAGACCTGTGTGGGGATATGTGAAAAGAGAGATGCCTCTGGCAGATCAGAGGGTTTCTTTCTATTCTGTGGGCTTGTTTCACTTTTATAGAAGACCTCAAATATGATGAAATAGCTCCAAAGAGTTAATGTTTATCAATGTTTGTCACGAATGTTAGAAATCTTGACATATCATAATATTATATATATATATATACATATATATATACACACACACACATGTACACACACAGACATATATGTATCTGTGTGTCTATATGTATAAAGTGAGCAGAAAGGAAACATTATGGCCCAGTGGAAAATATTGGAGATTCTGTGGTTTCTAACCTTTTGGGGTTTGATATTCAACAACACAATATTAGAAAATCTTTTAGGGGTTTGCAATTCAATAATACAAAACAAAAAAAAATGAGACAACTATAAATAAATCCTATCTAGTTGATTTAAATTATAGAGCCCATGCAGCTTGAGCAAATCTTCTTCCTTTAGCCACGGTGTGATTCCTCTTGATTGAGAATCGAGTTTCTGGGCTGTTCTCAGAGAATGAAATTACAAAACACAAGACTGCAGATTTTTAAAAAATTTGTCCCCAGGTATCCCTGCAGAATATCAAGTGACTAGGTCAGAAACTCAGTCGGAAACTTTGCTTCAGGAAGAGGAGAGCAAATCCCTTTCGCCTGGGAGGCCAAACAGAGCATTGTTTTAGTTCTGTAGGAGATGATGACAATGGAATAGGACATTGTCCCCGGTAATGGTCTCCTGCTGCTGGGGAACCGTGGGGGCTAAACCGAGGTGCTCAGCAAAAACAAACAAGGGGTTGAACTACTACCTTCTTTTTAACGCAAAAAACTGTTGATCCTGGAACCCAGCCCCTCCCAGCAGCTTCCCTTGGGTTAGAAAAGTCTTGCTTTTGGAGGCTCTCTGAGCTGGGGTGTCGCTGAGTGGGGAAGCAAGCTCCGTAGCCTAACTGGCTCTCCTGTTTCTGAATCGCTGGCTTCAGAGAGAGGCTTTGGGGACCATTTTGAATTTCACCAGCTGCTGGACAAAACAGGCTTTCCATAAAAAACAATCCCTGCATCGTTCGTCGGTACCAGATGAGTCCTCCCTGCCCCCACATCCCACCCTCACCACCTCCCATTTCAGGGCTGCTGATCACACTGGTGAATTGTGCTAGCAAAGTTCCGCGTGTGAGAACACCTTTATTTTTTGAGTATTAATCAGAGATGCCTGAAGACAAAAACCAATAACTCATTTCTCTGGCATAGAAAGTCAGAACCTTCCCTTTCTCTCTCTCTTTTTTCCCCCTGTAAAATAATATTAAATGTAGAGAATCTCTAATGTGCATCTCAAAACATAATTTAAAGCAGATAAAATGTGGAAATGATGGAAAATTGGACATTTTGGAAAATAACAAATACCCTTGCACATTTGAAACCAAAAAATAAATGAAAATTCAGGGTCAAAGTCGTCCCTCAGCCAACTGAAGCTTTTGTAGCAAATACAGTTCAAACTCTACCACACAGATGGAAAATAGTCTCTCTGAATGCAAGCTGGCACTATTCTTTCAATCCACAAACTTCTACAATCTCCATCCATTAAAGCTGCATGGCATTCAAAAGTTGCGGTCCAATTCATCTTCGCTGTTACTGAGACATTTTACAAGCGTATTTTTTTTCTTGGGAAAAATTTTTAAATTGGGTAAAACAAATGGGAAGTGGATATTTTAAAAAAAACAAACCAAGTCCTGCCTGGTCTGGTGATTGACTTGCTTAGAATTCTGAGCAAGCATTTCATTTCCCGATAACAGCCATTTCCACTCCCATCCCCAGTTCCCTCTCCTTGGGGCAGACACAGATCATGGAAATACTAATTTGTTCTGCTGGAATTCCCTTCAATTGTTTCAACAAGAGAATTATTTTGTATCAGCTGTCAGGGTGTCCTTCCAACTTTTCCTTTTCCTCTATGTACAGGTTTTCCTACAAAGAAGGATGCCAGAGTTTGTCAGTTATAGGAACGAGGCATTTGGGGTTAGACACACAACATTTTGATGTTTTGCATGGCCACTATTTATGTTTTATAATGTTGCTAGTAGAAAAGAACTCTGAATGTGAATATCCAATGGCAAGTGGCAATTTACATTTGTCTAACAGTAATTAATCCAATATTTCTAATTTAAAGACCTCTTTTTTAAAAACCTGAAGGAGAAGATGTTTTTGACCTCAGTCACTTGTTTATGATTTTCTCATTTTTCTCCCTTACCTTCCTGGGTTGACTAGGGCTCCTTGGTTAAATGATACTTCAGTGGGTGAGAAAAGGCATCAGTTAATTTTGAAAGTGTGTTCAGTAACGTAAATCACCATCATAGAAACCTCAAGTGAGAAAAGAATAAATGGGGAAGAATAACAAGCAAGGAGAGCTAGTCTGAAGTACAGGAGTAAAGAGGGGGAAAGTAAAAATTTGTAGGGACAGAAAAACTCTTTAATTTGAAGATCCAGTTGTTAAAGAACAAAATCAGAGTATAAGCATTTGGATTAGGCAGACTCAGTTCAAATTGTTACCAACAATATAGGGAGAAACCAAAGCAAACAGTTTTCCGGTAAATCCTAGGTACTCAGAGCTGGCTAAACAAAACAAGCTCTGGAAAAGGAATGAAAATTGGTAATAAACAGAAAGGTACAAAAACACTGAGGACAAGTCTGATCTCATTGCCTCTTCAGTATCTGAGTGCATCCTGTAAAACAAGGGATTACTGGATTTTTGTCTTCATCCTTCATGAATCTGGCTAGATCTTGCATCTTCCTCATTTTGTCAGCATGTCCAAAATATCGGCTGGATTTTATGCTGATGTCAAGTCCAAAATCTTGTCCACCCTAGTGGGCAAAAACTTGCATTTCTTCTGGACTTGCCATAAAGCAGAGTTCTCCAGGAAGACAAAACTTCCCTCCTGACAATTCTGCTTCCAGAAGAGGAAGGTCCAGGAACCCAGACATGCTCAATTTAAAGAATCTGGCAGGAAATTGATGGTTGTGAAGGTCGTGCTCCAACTCCTGTTTTTTAAAGAGTGCTGCCAGAAATATTATATTTAAGGTGAAATTTCTCTATGAAGAAGTTCATGAAAATTGTTTTAAAGTTTTAGGAAAGTCTATTTGGTAAAGGCAGAAAGTTTTCAACTTCAGAGGCTTTTTGAAAAAAAGGAAACAAATTTTGATCACTTTAATATACATTTTAAAAGCGATTTCTGATAACTGTAGCCTGCCTGCCAATGCCTAAGGCATAGGCTGAACTTTCCAAGTTGAAACATTCATCCTTGTATTTGGGAAAATTCCTCTCAGCAATTCTGACAAATATTTAAAAATATGGAAGCAATTGTAAAATCACTTTAACCTGTGCAGTATCCTTTATTTTTTTTTCATGACCGTGTCCAGATTACATAGCTAGGGTTACAGATTTTCACACAGTTTCATTTGTGGTAGTTATGTGGCTGAAATTCCAGGCTGCTGTTTCATTCTATTGAACGATTCAGGGCTATCTTTGCCCTCTCTTCCTTCTGCTGCTTAAATCGGCCAAGAAAACACCAAGAAACTAAGAGGAATGGAAAACAGAAGGTAGAGATCATATTCAGAGGACTAAGATCCATCACATGACAAACATTAAGTGGATAATAGTTGGGGTTACCTCCCAGCTCCAAGTCCTCCATCTGTGCAATGGGCTAACGTCCCTGGGCTGGGGATGCCTGAGGATGAAGAAAGAAATCCTCAGCGGCTGCAGAGATGCTAAGAAAACAGCCAACTGTCTCCAGACTTAGAATGTTTCAAAGCTTTCTGGCCTCTCGGAGGAAGCCGACCCAAATCCTCCCGGTGTCAATTTGCCTTCTAGAAGCAACAGGATGCGCACAAGGATCTGGGCAGGGCTTACATTTTTAGTTTATTGGCTTTATGAGGGTTGTTTGGGGCTCTCTCTGCGGTCTGCTGCAGAGTGGGGGGCGGGGGACAAGGTGGGGAGGAAAGGAGTCGGCGAAGAAGAGAGTAAGAGAGAGAAGCAAGGGGGTGGAAACCCCAGGAGGGAACGGGAATGCCCAAGGCGGAGAACGCAGCCAGGGGAGGGCCAGGGAAGAGGCAGGGCGGCACTCGGGCTGCGTCCGGAGCCAGAGGGCCCGGACCGGGCTCCGTTCGAGCGCGCCGCTCAGCCCGGGGCCGCGCCCTCGGCAGCCCAACTGGGTCCCCAGGCTCGGCCTCCGCCCACGGCCCACCGCCAGCCCCCTCCCCTCCCAGGTGGCGGCCTCCCGGAGGCAGGAGCCGCCAGGATGCTGAGTTCTACCCGCCTTCCTCGCAGGCTCGATCGGGGATCTGCACCAGCCGCGGAGACTGAGCCGCGGCGGGGGCAGCCCGCGGTCGGGTGGCTCTCCAGGCTGGATGGGGTGACCCGTTTTATCAGGCGCTGGTGTTTGCAGGAGGGGAGGAGGCAAGGCCGCTTGGGACCTCCCTGACCCCTGCGGGTCGGGCCGGGGAGCCGGGAATGAAGATGCAAGTCGAACTCCAAGTTCTGCGTGTCGCTGGCGACCGCCGGGCGTGAACTGCCCTCCTCGGTCTCGGTCCCTGTCCGGGGGAGCTGCCCCCCACCCCCACCCCCGGTCCTGAGTCGCGACGCTCTCCGGGACCTGGTGCGGATCGCCACGTGGGACTCGGGAGCCGAGCGGAGAGGGAGGCGCTCTGTGCGCCTCGACTTTCCCTGCGCGCCGACGGCTCGGAGCGCCGGGGGGCCCCTCGCGGGCGAGGGGTGCCCGCCCGTCCGCCCTCCCCGCTACCTCATCTCGGCGTCGGGCCCTGCCTCGGGTCGCGAGGATAGAGGCCGGGTTCCGGCTCCGCGGCGGCCGCATCCCTAGCCAGCCCAGAGGCTCCTTTTCGCCCTTTCCCCCCCAGGGACCTAAACTCCCCAAACCCCATGCAGGGGGCAGCGGGGTGCGGCGGGGAAGACTGAACAGTCCAAGTTTTCGACAGCGGCGCCACAGAAACTTATTGGGGGTGCGTTCCAGGTTCGGGGGTGTCGCCTCGCCCGGTGACTTGCCGAAGTGGGTGCCAGGCTGGGCCTCTTGACAGTTTCATCGCTACTTCTAATGTCTCCTTCGCTTTGCACTCGGGGAACTAGCCCCTCCTCTTGGAGAAGGAGGCAGCGCCCGTATCCGACGGGAATCCTCAGGTGACCCGGGGCAGTGGGGCCGTCTGCCTGGGTGCGCGACCTGGGGCCAGGAGTTGGAGATTTCTGATGCATCTGAGAAACACAACGGCGTCAGGGGGAATAAACTTATAGTAGGACTGGGCCTAAACTTAATTTCTTTTTTAAAAAAGGTCGAATTGTCCAGTTTGTCTTTTTGCTTCTACTGAAAATATTACGGGATTGAAAGGTGACCGATGTGTCACCCTGTGCGTCTAGTTTGCCTTCATTTGCTTCGTTTCTCACGCAGTTGTCCCAGCAGTGTCCACCTAAAATATTTTCTTCCATCGAACCCTTGCAACAAAATCGGATTTTCTATTTGGATGGTTCTACGTCAAAGACGGTCTGCAGCGGTACCGGCTTTGCCCGTGATTAACGGAAGGACATTTCCTACAATAAGGTAGAGTCAACGCGGTGCGCCCAAGCCATTGATTTCCACCCCTGTGTCGTCAGCTTGTTGTTCACTTTCTCCTAAGATTATGGCAGCAATCATCATCATTATAATAACCAGGACACAAACAGCTCCTGAGAAGTCGCTTATAACTACCTCTTCTAGGAGGTGAGACCCAAGCACACCACCCTGTGGACCTATGTTTTATTTTTGCCAGAGGAACGGCAGAATTGCCTGAGTTTTTTAAAAAAATGATCTATTTACAGACTTGCTAATGCCTCTGCAGAAATCCTGTTTATCGGTCCAATAGTTGTGATGGGGTTAGAAAACCATTTTAAACTGTTAATCGGCCACAAAAAGGGTCCCAGATTGACGCCTTTCACTTACCTTTGAAAGGCTATAAAAGCGATGCTGTACATTGGGATGAAATTAGACAGCGACAAAATCATTACCTTGACTTACCACAATAAAGACAACCTTAAAGAGGGGCTATTGATGGTTTCAAATTACATAACGGTGGTTTATAAGTTCTTCCTCTGGGCTCACAGAAAGCAATTTTAAATTATGAATTCTTCAAAGAACAAGCAGTCACTAGCATTCAAACGCTGACATGCAGCTGCCTTTTAATTTTATTTATTGCAAAATGGTTATTAGTAAAAAAAAGAGAGAGAGAAACACAAAAACAAAAATCCCAACAAAAGCAGGCCAAACCCAAAGAGAAAACCACGTTCAACGTTGTATTTTCACCAAGCTCTCTGGGCACACACTTGGCCAGGGAGCTCCCGGGGCGAGACCTTTTCCTGCTCCACGGGACAGGGAGTGAAATTCATAGCCTCGGGAGGAGGAAGAGCCCCGCGAGTGTCACCGGGTCCTGTCTACCCCCCGCATCTGCAGGTTTAATCTGAACACAGCCTCCTCTAGGCTAGAAGGAAAGACATTTTTTTCCATGCAGCACAGCATCCGGGGGTGGGGTGGGCCTGAGGGCTGGGTCCTGGGCTAAAGATCAGCCCTTCCACCCTCACCCCTCTGGGGTGGCTCGGACCGGACCGAGGGTGGGACTCCACCTCTCAGCTGACCTTTACTCAGACCGATTTCTACCTAAATACGGAGGAGATCGAAAGCTAGCGGCCCTTTTCTTTTGTTTTCAAGTTGGCTTTTGATTTTTTTGGGGGTTGCCCCCCCCCAACCCCAACCTCCTTGGTTGACCTGCAAGGCCTGCAGAAAAACCCGATGGGGCACCCCGTCGCCCCAGCTTACGCTTCTTGGGGACCAAATCAGTGTGGAAAACCAACCAGGTGGCAGGGTCTTTACCGAGCAAAGACGTTCAGGACGGCCGCACGGAGCGCGGCGCGCGGAGGGAGAGGGGCGAGCCCTCAGCGTATTGCGGCGAGGGGCCTCTTGGGGTCAGGAGGATTCTAGGTGCAACTTTGCAGAGGATTTGAGAGACCAGAGGGGAGTCGGGGAACCGGCGGCAAGCTGGGGCTCGGTCACATTCGCTACGCAGCACTGCCCCCTGGTATCCTGCGCCAAAACTGCCCTGCTAGGCGGTGACCATCTCCCTGCTCCGCGGCCGGGGCTAACCTTTTTCTCCTTTTTTTTTGGCCACAAGCCCCCTTCTAGAAGCTCCCCGGGAGGTCTCGAGAGAGCTCTCCCGCGGAGCTCTAAAGCCTTCTTTCCCGCCCCGCCCCAAGCACTCACCTCCCCAAGGAGGACTCTCAAAACCAGGCTCCCGGTGTGACTCTGGCACTCAAGTGCCCGCTGAGATGTGAGGGCTGCCAGGAGGCCTCACTGCAGGCCTGGGTGAGTGGGGAAGGCTTGTGTACACGGAGACTCATTTAGGATTGGGATGGTTCGTTCTTTTAATGAACACCAGTTCCCTGGGCATTTTTGCGGGGGGGCATCTGGGCTTTCTGGAGAAGAAAGATAAAGGGGAGACAGGGTCATGGTCTGCTTTGCACCCCGAAATGGGAGAGATGAGCAGGTATCAGGTGGCCCATTTGGAACACCAGGGCATGGCTCAGCAGGGCGAATCCTGCCCAGTTTATCCCCTTCGTATGGGTCCCCAACAGCCTTGGCTTCCTGCGGGTGCCCGGAGGAAGACTGCCCTCTTCTTCAACCCATACTGGGCATCTGGTGTCGGGTGTGGGTAGCAGTCTCAAGATACCCACCACCAACTGGAGGACTGATCCCATGATTGAGGCTAGGGCTTGGTGAAGAGGTAGGTGTTTAGATCACTGGACACAGAGAAGGAGTTCAGACTTCCAAACCAGGTCCACTCTGGGTTCCAGCTTGGTCACCTGCAGATGGTGTGACCTTGAGACCTTCAGCCTCTCTGTACATTTCTTTTCCTTGCTACTTTTTCAGGGAGGTTGTGAGAACTGAGATAATGTTCAAGGGCTGGCATGTGCTCAGTCAGGGTCACCATTGGTGACTGTGGGGGTTCCCTGCAGGAAAGTGACCCAGAGAGCACCCCATAAGGGGGGGGGGGGCTCCTGCAGCACCACAGTGGATACCGAGCAGTGATAGCCCCGAAGGGGACCCCAGGGTCCCCACGCTTCCTGGGTGTCTTCCACCAGGGCCCAGGCTTTGCTCGAAGGGAGGACTTAGCTCACTCCTCTCGGCTCTAGGAAGCTAGTCATCCTCATTTATGACAGCATCTAGTGTTGAGAACCCTGGCCTAACACATGTCACACACCCAGCCTTAATCTGCATCAGACACAGTGCTAAGAGCTGCGTGTTCACTATCCTATTTCATCTCCACAGTGATGGGACAGTAGTTAAGTTTTCAGATCTCCATTTTACAGAGCAGGCAACTCAGCTCAGAGAGGTGGGGTAACTTGCTCAAGATCACACAGCTGGTTTTTTCAGAGGCTAAGCCCTTTCTGGTGTGACATTAGAAAGCATAAGCTTTCACTCTTAGGTTTTCACTCATTCTACATTCTTTAAACTGCAGTTTCCTTTTCCCTGCATTGGCACCTACGGATGCTGAGGCTGACTCCGGGGAATCTCAGGCCTTGACGCGAATTTTCACTCAATTAGTTCTGGGGTGTCCTCAGACCTTTTGATGGAGTCTGCTTCGGTCTCTAGTCCCCAAGGCGATCTCAGATCAGAGTGACCCACCCGAGCATCCGGACAAAAGTTCGGGGAAGAAACCTCTCCCCTCCCTGGAAGCTGAGATCAAGTGGGCCAGACGGCGCAGAAAACAGGTGAGGCCACGCCTGTCGAGTCCCCGGGAGGCGTAGGCGCGCGGATCCGGGCTGCTGGGATGCTTCGGGACTCCTCCGGGTACCCACGCCACACGAAACCTCCCTCGCTCCCTCACCCTAAACCAAGCTCTCAGGACCCAGGGGGGTAGTAGTGGGGGGAGTGTAGTGCGTGTAACCGGGTGTCGCGGGGCAGGGCACCGACAGTCAGCTATGGAATGGACTTGAACATGAGGTTCCCAGGCCAGCGGCTCCTTGCGATGGGAGTCCCCGAGCTCCCCAGTTGGTAAATATCCAACGATTGCCTACTGGGAGCCACGCCCGGCATCCAGCCCTCCCCGCCCCAGTCACGGTCAATTTCCAGGCCGCCCCCAGGAGCCTCCACTCTCTGTCCTAACCCCTGCCCTCCCGTGGGGCCGAGTTGAGGGCGCCACCAGCGCTGGTCGGAGCGCGCTTTCTAGTGGGGCCCAGGCTTCGTTGGATCGCAAGCACCCCGCCCACCCTTTCCCCAGCTGCTCTCCGCGGCGCCGAGCCGGCGTCGGCAGCGCTGAGCGAGGGGCCCCCTGGCGGCAGGAAGCCGCGCACACTCGTCCGCCTGGTGGCTCCGGGCTGATCCTTCCGTGCTCCCGGTCCCATCCTTCCGTGCTCCGGGTCCTCTCTGCCGCGCGACCCCCCGGGCGCCCTCGCCCGCTTCGCCGACTCTTCCGTCTCCACGGATGTGGCTGTCCCCAGAGACGGCCCGAGAGACGCTCGCGGCTTTCCTCGACTGGCCCCAGGCGCGCCCTTGGCCCAAGCCCGCTCCACGTTTCCCAGCAGCGGGCCTGGGCCTCCCTGAATAGAAACCACTGATGCCAGGTAACCCCCACCCCACTGCCGGGCTTCACTGGACGCTAGGCCCCTCGGAGGCCAGCGCTATGCTTGAGAAAAGAAAAAAAAATCCACCCATCCACCTAATTCAGGGGTGAAGGAAAACCGTCTTCATCTGGATTTTCAAAAAGAAAACGTCCCCCCGAACAACCTCGTGTCCACTGCCCTTTGCCCGGGTCTTGTGAACTAGAAAGGCAATATTCCCCTGGCTTCACTGGACTCTAGGCCCCTCGGAGGCCAGCGCTATGCTTGAGAAAAGAAAAAAAATCCACCCATCCACCTAATTCAGGGGTGAAGGAAAACCGTCTTCATCTGGATTTTCGAAAAGAAAACGTTCCCCCGAACAAACTCGTGTCCACTGCCCTTTGCCCGGGTCTTGTGAACCAGAAAGGCAATATTCCCCGGGCTTCTCGACTGTCACACGTGTGTCCCCGATGCTATCTGCCCACATCTCTGTGTGAAGCAGTTTCTTTCCCTTGAAATCCCACTGGGAAGACTCTATGGAGAGAGATGACTCATTCCAACAAGAATCTGGAGAAAAACGCCCCGAGAGCGTTCAAAAATTCAGCAAGCTGCATTTTAGCCGAAATTCCTGGTTAGAGCTCCCTAGGTTTCCTGTGGGTTTCAGGTCTGGGGTCAGAATGACCTGAATTTGAATCTTGATTTTGTCACGCAATAGCTGAATGACTTGAGCAAATTACCTTCTAAGTACCAGTTCTCTCTGTTATAATAGAGTTACCTCACAGGTTGTTATAAAGATTAAAAAGTCATTCATGTAAAGAGTTTAGAGTAGGCCAGGTAACTGTATCTTGATGATTTCTCCTAAAGCCAGAGTTAGATGCTTGCTAGGTCTCTTCACTTGCAGTCCTGTCCGACTCTGTGACCCTATGGACTGTAGCCCACCAGGCTCCTCTGTGCATGGGATTCTCTAGGCAAGAATACTGGAGTGGGTTGCCATGCCCTCCTCCAGAGGATCTTCCTACCCAAGGATGGAACCTATGTCTCTTACCTATCCTGCATTTGCAGGTGGATTCTTTACCATCAGCACCACCTGGGAAGCCCAAGAGTTCAATGAAACTTTAGCTAGTGAAGGCTTGAAAATCGGATCTGACTTGTACTCAAGGATGAGACCGGGAGCAGAGATACTGCTATAAGGTGAGACTTTAATCCTGGGAGGGCTGAACTCACAAATGAGCATTCGGTGGGCATGGAAGCTTGCCTCAGTGAGAATCAATAAGGCTCGGAGTTGGGACCCTAGGGCTCTCCAAGGACCTTCCCAAGCCTAAGTGTTTTCTTATACCCACCTTGGGGCAGGGCTGGTCTTTCTCCTCTGTACTCTTACACCCAAGAGGCAGCCAGGTACTCAGGGTCCGTGCTGGCTGCTGAGTGAGTGGATTTGGTCATCCCAAATGCGGCCTTACACAAGTCATCTTTCTCTTTGCTTCATTAACTCCTGCCTTCTCTGAATAGGCCAGATTCCCCTGTCAGATGCTCTCAGAGGACCATACACTTTCTCTTCATGACGACTTATCACTGTTAAAACTTCACATTTATTCATGCAATCATCAAATTGTCTTCCTTTTGCTGTGAACTCCATGGCTGTTTTCCTGTCCCTGAGTTGTTCTTAACAGTTAATACAATGGATAACGGTTGAATGGCAACGAAATGGCTTTTTTTTTTGTAGCTAGATTCAGAAAGTGGTTTAACCCTACCCCTCACCCTAATTAGCAGTCATAGTAGGTAATTCACAATACACCCTTTCAATATGTTGTAAAGAAATTAGCCTCCAAATGCACTACCAGGCAAGCTATTCTAGAGGTGACAGAATAGAAAGGCACACAGACCAAGTTAAGATGCTTGAATCTCACAGATTATTGGATAAATTGAAAACACACAGGGAGAAGGCAGATAAAAGAGATGGGGTAGGTTAGCAGCAATATGATCAGGTGTAAGAAAGTGGGGAGGACCACTTGCAGAATCGTGGGTTATGTAATATGTCATGTTCATGTCCCCTTCTCCCTCCCTGCTATAGTAAGTTCAGTTCAGTTCAGTTTCTAAGTCATGTTCAACTCTTTGCGACCCCATGGAACACAGCATGCCAGGCCTCCCTGTCCATCACTAACTCCTGGATATCTTAGTTTTTTGAATGTTCAAGCCAGCTTTTTCACTTTCCTCTTTCACTTTCATCAAGAGGCTCTTTAGTTCTTCTTCACTTTCTGCCATGAGCGTGATGTCATCTGCATATATGAGGTTACTGATATTTCTCCCGACAGTCTTGATTTCAGCTTGTGCTTCATCCAGCCCGGCACGTTGCATGACATACTCTGCATGTAAGTTAAATAAGCAGGGTGACAATACACAGCCTTGACGTACTCCTTTCCCAATTTGGAACCAGTCCATTGTTCCATGTCTAATTCTAACTGTTGCTTCTTGACCTGCATGCAGGTTTCTCGCGTTCCCCCTTGAAGATGTGGTTACAAGGACTAGAGCTGGGGGTGGGTCCTGAGATGACAGACAGAAAGTGCCCAAGGCAGTGACACACACTTTCACCGTCAAGTTGCCTGGCTAACAGCAGGAACTCTACTGTTAGTCTGCAGAACACCTTCAGGTTTAGCTGTGCATCATGGGCAGAACACAACCGGGACCACGATGGATGTCACCAATGAGTGGCTGATTTAGAGGATTACATAGATGCCAGCTCTGAGGTGGCATGATCGTACCTTATTACTTGGTCTTTACCTCTCTATTTGTACTTAGCACTCTGGTTTGTTCTACACTATCTTTTTTTTTCTCTCCATCTTTACCATATCCTGCATATTGCTGATTTATCTGCAGGTGAATTCTGCCATGTCCCACAAGCTACTTGTGACCCGTGCTCTAGAATGAACACTTCCTATGAATTTTGCTTATATTTCATTGTCTACTAACTTGCTTACCATCACACTTCTTATGAGTTTCATCCATCCGTTTCTTTTTCCTGTCTTCTGGGACATGATTCAGTATTCTCAAATAACACAGCACACACACACATATTGTATGTTTACTAAAAAAAATGCTAAGCATCATGCTAGGCAGCCTTCTAGTTAGTGGAAAGACACAATCAGTCCACACAGTCACAGGGAATGGGACAAATGCCAGGCAGCTGGGGCGGGGGAAGGTTGGAGAGATCTGCTGTCCCAAGAACCTGAGATGAGCAGTCAGGGAGAGCTTCCCAGAGGAGGTGGCACTCGAGCTGAGATTTGCAAGGAGAGCTCCATAGTCCTGAGGTTTCTGAAATTCCTGAAAAATAAACATCAAGATCTATTGCTTTCCCTCAACCCACTTTTGAATCATATCTAGCGTGTTTTCCCTTTGACTTTCCAAGGGAACACTAACCTGTTCTAGTCCCCCAAATGCGCAAATGTTATGTTTTACACAACAATAAGAATGAAACACACCTATTGGCAAAAGACACTGCAGAAAAGTGTTTAGGCTTATAAATGGTTCTAACTGGGATCAACAGCCTATAATTAGACTTTAACAATCCAAGAGAGGAGTAATGTGCACCCTGCAGGACAGATTGGCGTCTTTTTCTTTAGTTCTGCAGGTTTGGTGGGTAGATTGGCCCCCGACGTGCCTCCTACAATAACTGTCCCACCGAGGTAAACATGTCACAAACAAGAACAATGAGATCACCAATAATATAACACTAATACTATAAACAAAAGGAACGCCACCTTCGGCTCTGGTGGAATGAAAAACACAATGTGGACCAACTAACAGGGCTATTTAAAAAACAAATTACTCACGGCCAAGCTTCTTAGCTCTCCAAACGCAATTTTCCAGGAACCTCGGTACAAGAAGAAGTTTTTCCTGAAAGGGACCTGCCTCCGCTGCTTTCTGGATAGTGTTTGCTTATAGATCTGAGGCCTCAGACAAAGAAGAAAATGCCCCACACAGACCCACCTTGATGCTTATTCTCATTTATTTACCCCCAGATTGAGACATTTCTAGGGTCACAGGTTACAGTAAATGGAGAGTCTGTAAGCACATCCTCGTCAGTGACATTTTCCAGAAACCTCAGGCTTTTCCCAAATGCCAGAGCCCTCTGATTACAGGCCACGCTTCCTTGATAAGGACTGTTTCCCATATTTTCT